TTCACATCTCTGGTTCATGGTTTTCATAATAATAGTGACAATAAAGCACACACACACACACACACACACACACACACACAGGACTGTGGGTGAATCTGTCGCCCGCGGGTAGTGACGTCACCACTGGGAGGAATTTGTTAAATGCCAACAAGTTTTTCCCTGGACGACGACGACGATGATGGCGCCAGTTACTGTTGGTCATGACCTTGTCTGACCCAGCCGACTCATCCTGCCCTGCTGTCACCCTCCCCTGTCGACCCGACCTGCACTACCTTGCCACCCTGCTTCGCCACCCTTCCACCTTCCTCGCAGAGTTACACAGACAGCCACACATAAACACTCCTCACCAGACACAAACGTCACAGTAATTAACCATTACGTGGCAACAAGTCTGTTTTTTTTACCAATAAAGTTATGACCATAAACCTGGCGAGGCAGGTTGTGGTGGCGGCCGTGGACTTGGTCGCCAACACAAGTGGTCGCCACCAACTGGATCAGCTGAGTGAGTTTGCGTTTGTGGCGGTGTTGTGGTCGGTTACCTCACCAATACGTAACACGAGAGGATAGCAAGACTGATCCTGCTCTGCTCACACTTAATACTGTACTCTACCTGACGAGCTTGATGGCCAAAACAAAATACGTAATCGTCTTCTGATAACTTAATGTCACTTATTACTGCGGGTGATTATGTAAACGATATACATCACTAAATTGATTTTATTACAAACCTCTTCCTCGGTGCTGTGAACTTTGTGTTTACTTGTTGGTGAAGATAACCGGAACAAAACACCACAGCTGTGACTCAACTCGTCCCGTGTGTTGCTCCTCCCTCCCCCTCCTCCTCCTCCCAACATTTTCTCTGACCTCTCACTGCTCCCCATCTCACTTTCGCTGCTACTTTCCCCCTCCTCCCCCCACTGACCCTCTTATACCACACTTTCCCTGACCCTCCCTCTTACCCTCCTACCTGCACCTCCCCCTCACCCCCCTCCCTCACCACTGGTACCCAGAGAGGAAAAGTTAGAAGGCATCAGCCACTTTCTCTCCACCAGCCAGTACACTGTGTTCACCTCGACGCTGTGTCCTGATTCTTAAGACGAAACTCACCTGCACCTCCCCCCCCCTCTCCCCAACCTTTCCCCTTTCACTTACATTTTTCATTGTCGTTTTTTCTTTTCTGTTTTAAATCATTCTTATAATTCTTCTAACATGACGACGATGGTCCAAGATGTATTATTATTATTATTATTATTATTATTATTATTATTATTATTATTATTATTATTATTATTATTATTATTATTATTATTATTATTATTATTATTATTATTATTATTATTATTATTATTATTATTACATCAGTTAGTCTATCACGGTGGCGGGAACAGTTTTAGGCTCGTAGTTAATCCTTCGTCTTCAGATCACTGTAAGGAACTGTTCCTCTTCTCCAACGTGTTATACTGAGGTCCTCATGTCCTCTGTTGTCATCCTCACGGTAGATTTGTCCCAGGTGAGGGGGAAGGAGAGGAGGGAGGGTAGAGAAGAGGAAAAGGAGAGGGGGAAGGGGGTAGGGAGAGGGGTGAAGGGGAAGGGGGAGTTTTTTAGTTTAACAAATTTATTGGCAGAGCTTGTAGTACAGTTTGCCTATTCTCAGTAATTCAGTCAGGTTCTTGACACTGAGGGTGGTATCACTTCTCACTGCCACGCAGGACAGAGGTTCATACACAAAGAAATACATCATATTCATTAACAACTATAAATGTATAGAGGTCAGATTGATATGGATAATGTCACTGTTCACTGCCATGCAGGACAGAGGTTCGTACACAGAGATGCATCATATTCATTGACAGTACATATACATATATGTACACACACACACACACATATACATACAGTACATATATACATACACATATACATGTACATGTACATATACATACACACACGCACACATACATACATATACGTCGGTCAGATTCATGTGGGTAATGTCACTTTTCACTGCCATACAGGACAGAGGTTCGTACACAAAAATGCATCATATTCATTGACACTATATATAGGTCAGATTCATGTGGGTAATGTCACTTTTCACTGCCATACAGGACAGAGGTTCGTACACAAAGAAGGAAATACATCACATTCACCAGCAGCATATATAGGTCAGTGGATCATATACATTGGAGTCATATTCTAATTGAAGACTAATCAGTGTGGGCTAGCAAATTTGGGATAAACAGCACTTGCTGCTGCTGCTGCTTCTTGCTGGAAGGGGGAGGGGAAGTTCATTATCAACCAAGTATTAACTGGTGGTATAGAAGTGGTATAGAAAGTGAGCATCGCCGCCTACCCTAACCATTTATAGACGGGTCGTGATCCCGAGACACAGCTCAACTCTCCTCCTCCCTTTCTCCTTCTTCTCCTTCTCCCTCCTTCTCCTCATCACCTCAGCTCCTACTTCCCTCACACTCCATTCTTCCTCTCTCTCTTCTTCTGGGTCTGATCCACAGTCTCAATCCACCTATCACCTTATAATCACCTATCACTCTTATAATCACCTATCACTTGTAATCCACCTATCACACTTGCAATCTGCACATATAATCCACCTTCACTTATAATCACCTTCAATATACCTTCATATATCCACCTTTCTTATAATCTGCCATAATCACCCTGCACTTATAATCACCTATCACACTTATAATCCTCTATCACTTGTAATCCTGTTACACTTATAATCCACCTATCACACTTATAATCCATCTATCTCATATAATCCACCTTCATATAATCACCTATTACTTAATCTCTTCACATATATCATCTATCACACTTATAATCCACCTATCACTTAAATACCATTCATATAATCACCTTCCTTATATCCTTGCCTTATATCCATCACTATCCTTCACATTAATCACCTATCACTTATTCCTTCACTTATAATCCCTATCACTTATAATCCACCTATTACATTTATAATCCACTATTACACTTATAATCCATCTATCATTTAATCTTTTTTTTTTTTTTTTTTTTTTTTTTTTTTTTTTTTTTATAATCCACTATACCTTATAATCTTTATAATCACCTTATTATAATCACCTATCCATTATAATCACCTATCACTTATAATCCACCTATCACACTTATAATCCACCTATCACACTTATAATGCCTCTATCGTGCACCAGAGCGTAAACAACAGCAAGACCTCAACAGAATCGACCATCAGGGCTGTGTGTTAGGTTAGGTAGTCGGGTTTGTCTGCCTCGGGTTTCACTCTTACACAACCTGTTCATCACACCTGCGGGTCCAACAAGACGGCGTGATCTCATCCCATAAACGAGGTCTTGTGGTCTCCTCTCTGCTACTCTCAGTCATAAACAAGGAAGACGAGTGCCGGAGGTTGAATGTTTTGTGAAAGCATCTGGTGGCGAGGAAGAAGAGAGAGAGAGAGAGAGAGAGAGAACACTTGGTACCTGGAGATGACTTACACCTCACCTGTGTTTTAGTATACAACAAAGAACCACAACTCTGCCAGGTAGCTTTCAGGAGTGGCAGCCATCTTGGTCTATATGTACAGCACCCGTTCATTATACAATTTATTCCAAATGACTGGTAGACGAGTTGATCTTACAAAGTGATTATTACAAACAGACAAACTTTCATTACAGTCAGACAAACTTTCATTACAGTCAGACAAACTTTCATTACAGTCAGACAACCTTTCATTACAGTCAGACAAACTTTCATTACAGTCAGACAAACTTTCATTACAGTTAGATAACCTTTCATTACAGTCAGACAAACTTTCATTACAGTTAGATAACCTTTCATTACAGTCAGACAAACTTTCATTACAGTCAGACAAACTTTCATTACAGTTAGATAACCTTTCATTACAGATAAATTACAGAGAATTACAGATAGAGAACTTGTAATTACTTAAAAAAACATTGGATACAAACAAATTATGGTTACAGAAATTATAATTACACACAGGGGGTAGTCGTGACAACAGCGAGCGTGACAACTGACAACATTTGACGCGTGACAACATTGACGCGTGACAGTAACAAGACTTAATGTGTACTCTGTGATTTGTTATTTAATTTTCTTGGTCACACATTGATTGTTGTTTTTTCTTCTGTTTCCAGGTGAGACTTGTGTTGATGAGGGAGGTGAGGGAGGTGAGGGGGGTGAGGGGGGTGAGGGAGGTGAGGCTGACGGTGGGTATGTATGGTTCACCTCATCCTATCTGTCGTGTTGACTTGGCCCACTACCACCACCACCACAACTACCACCACCACCACAACTACCATCACTACCACCGCTACCACTACCACCACACCTCCACCACCACACCCCCACCACAACACCTCCACCACCACACCCCTACCACCTCACCATAACATTATAGCATTCACCTGTCGTAGTTCGCGTCCTAATGACTTATAATCACCTTATTGTGTGTCTTCTTCGGGCTATGATCACCACTTGGCGTTACATCTTGTCTCGGGCACGATATATGCATAGGGCTCTTGTCTTTTACCTGTCTCCTTATATTACACCTGTCTATTTACACCTGCTTGTATTACACCTGTTGGAAGGTTAAAATGGGGGGAATTTCCTTGCATATAATAATAAAGGGAAGGAAAATTAATTTATACTTCTTAAGGGGGAGGTGGGTGTTATTGTCGGTATTATTATTATTATTATTATTATTATTAGTAGTAGTAGTAGTAGTAGTAGTAGTAGTAGTAGTAGTAGTAGTAGTAATAATAATAATCGTATGGTATTACTGTTTTTATTATCATAATTTTGAGTACCATAGACTGGATTCATGATATCTAATCCATGTCTAACACTTTGGTGGCAGCGGTGTGTTTACTTGTATTTATTACACAGTGATTTTATAATAACTAGGTGTCTAAGTCGTCAGCAGTATGGTGCACACAGTAACTAGTGTATTTGTTGTGTGTTCTCAGGTGGCGCTCATCGCTGGCGTTATTCTGGTGGCGTGCATCAGCGCTCTGCCACAATCTCACTCCAACACCCAATACGCCCAAGAACGCTCCTACCCAGCAGCAGTCTACCCTCCACCACCTTCCCCACATCGACCAGCCCCGAAAGGCAAGAGTAAGGACAAAGGTTTCTTCGGCTTGGATTTATTCAAAGGCTTTACGGATTTCTTCAGCTTCGATAAAGGAAAGGGAGGAAGAGAAGCGCCTTCAAAGGGCTATGGACCTCCGCCAATTCTTGTTTATGGCCCTCCCCCTGTGTCCAAGGGTAAAGGCGGCTATGGGCCACCTCTCCCTCCTTCTAAGGGTTATGGGCCCCCAAAGGCATCTTATGGCCCTCCCCCAAAGGCATCTTATGGCCCTCCACCAAAGGCATCTTACGGCCCTCCACCAAAGGCACCAAAGGCATCTTATGGCCCTCCCCCAAAGGCATCTTATGGCCCTCCTACAAGAGCATCTTATGGCCCTCCCCCAAAGGCATCTTACGGTAGCCCCTCCCCAAGGCATCTTGGCCTCCCCAAAAACACCAAAGCATCTTGCAGCCCCCCCTCCTCCAAAACATCTTATGGCCCTCCACAAAAGGCATCTTATGGCCTCCCAAAAGCACCAAAAGGCATCTTACGGCCCCTTTCACAAGCACCAGCATCTTGGCCCCTCTCCAAGAGCATCTTACAGCCCCTCCACCAAAGGCATCTGTAGCCCTCCCCAAAAACACAAAAAGCATCTTGCAGCCTCCTCAAGAGCATCTTATGGCCCTCCCACCAAAGAGCATCTTATGGCCCTCCCCAAAAAGGCACCAAAGCATCTTGGCCCCTCCTCAAGGCATCTTATGGCCCTCCACCAAAATCTTATGGCCCTCCCCCAAAGGCACCAAAGGCATCTTACGGCCCTCCACCAAAGGCACCGAAAGCATCTTACGGCCCTCCACCAAAGGCATCTTACGGCCCTCCACCAAAGGCATCTTATGGCCCTCCACCAAAGACATCTTACAGTCCTCCTACAAAGCCTAATTATGGCGCACCTCCTCCTGCACTAACTTACGGTGTTCCTAAAGTTCCTCCCTCCGGCTACGGCGCCCCCAAGCCTGTCGATATAATCATCTCCCAACCTACTGGCAACTATGGGGTGCCCCCTCCTCCTCCTCCTCCTCCTCTTCCTCCTAAGGGCAATTATGGGGTACCACCACCACCTCCTCCTCATGGCAACTACGGGGTACCACCACCACCACCTCCTCCTCCTCCTCATGGCAACTATGGGGTACCACCACCACCACCTCCTCCTCCTCCTCATGGCAACTATGGGGTACCACCTCCACCTCCTCCTCCCCCTCATGACAACTACGAGGTACCTCCTCCTCCTTCACCTCAGGATAACTATGAGGTACCACCTCCTCCTCCCCCTCATGGCAACTACGAGGTACCTTCTCCTCTTCCTCTGGCATCAGTTGCCTCCGTCCTTGCTCCTACCAACCAATACGCACCTCTCCCCATTGTTCCAGCACCTCTCCCCATTGTTCCAGCACCTCTCCCCATTGCCCCAGCTCCTCTTCCTTCTATTCCGGCTCCTGACCCTCTTCCTCCTGTTCTTCCTCCCGCCCCAGCTCCACTCCAACCCCTCGGCAGCCCTCTACCCACAAAACCGGACTGCGAGGCGTGCGACAATGAGCCATGGGTGCCCATGCAGGTGGCAGGTCCAGTGGCACCAGCCCCTCAACCACCCCCAGTGACCAGTGTAGTTCCAGTCTCCGCCAATCCCCCGGCTCCTGTTGTCACCTCCGCTCCCGGGTGAGTATTGTACATTCACAACAAGACCTCAGTGTCTACCTCGGTCCTCTACACTCACTTCCACCATTAGACTCTCATATAAAACAGTGTGTCACCTTGAATCATTTATACAGTAACTAACACGAACACTACACAAAGAGCAATAACAAACCACCACTACCATAATTTATAAACTTATTAATGTTTTCAAATATTTGTATCCTGACCACAACTAATTATACACTCAGTACAAGCTTCTATAATATCTTGTAACTCTTTGTACCATCGTAGGCTGGACTTCGATTTAAGATTTGTGGACGTTGTGGGACAAACTATAGAGGAGCCGTCACTCGACCTTCAGGAGGACCCGGGAACCTTGAATGAGGAACCCTTCTACATTGTTGACAGTGAACCGTAAGTCTCTCTCTCTCTCTCTCTCTCTCTCTCTCTCTCTCTCTCTCTCTCTCTCTCTCTCTCTCTCTCTCTCTGATAATCGTATTAACATTATAACTGTTCGTGTTATGAGTTCTGTATGACCCATTAACAGAACTCTCCCTCTCTCACCAACATACTGAGTGACCTTTACCAGTCTTGCTCTCCCCCACCATCAGGCTAGGTGCTGGTGTTCGTGACCCCAGGATGATGGAGGAGGAGGTGACACAAGACGTGGTGTATGTACTGACTGAGGACGACCCACAGCCTGTTGTCAGTGAGGTACCACAGGTCGACACCCCCACCCTCTATGAGAGTGAGTTGAGTTACTATTTTGTTCACTACATTATTATTATTATTATTATTATTATTATTATGATTATTATTATTATTATTATTATTATTATTATTATTAGTTTTATTATTACTATATTTTTATTAAATGTGTTAATAATTATTATGTTTGTGGCCGGTAGTCGAGACACTCGCCCCCATCGGCCTACTGGATAACATCAACCTTCGGGTGTTTGACCAAGACGTGAGTATAGACACAACCTTTCATTAAAAAACAAAGAAAATAAATTAACTATTATATAAATCAAAACTCATTAGTAATTTCAATTAAAAGACAACAATTGCCTTAGTTTAATAATACTTTCATAACAGTAAGAATATCCTTCGGCTTATGGTGAGGACGATGCCAAAATCCTTTCAGTTAATACGAGAAGAATGATTTGATTGTATTAGTGTGGGTTAGAATCCTTCAGGAACAGTAAAGGTGTTTTAATAATTTGTGTAGATGGTTAAAACACCAATAAATATATTCTTAACACATGTGTCCTTTGGATTATTGAAGGTAATTGGGTGATGATGTTTCAGGCGCCAGTGTTTGTCGAGACGGAGAAGGAAGAGCGAGTGACCACCTCGGCGGGGTAAGTACTGTACTGTACACTATCCTGCACCTCCAACCTCAACTGTCAATATTAACTACCATGATTAAAAAACAATTACTGCCATACATTAAGCTCGCCACAAGACAGATACATTTAGTATACTTTACACCGAAGCTTGTAGCCCACTTGTACTGATACGTGTCTAAACTTTCTGACTTCCATAAGTGACTGTGGGTTTTGACGCCCGGAACACCTACATTTTGAGCTGGCTGTTTCAACAGTATGTGGTGATGAACTGGCTTGACCTGGCTAAGAGGTCATTTACGGCGGCCAAACTTAACTGATCAAAACCTAAACAGACTAAACTCAAGACAGACTAAAGAAAATGTACTATAGAAAATCGGGTCAGACAATGTGCCTCGAGGGGGAGACTCAACTATTGCTGACTATGATCAGGACTTGCTACTCATCCTGATGTCAACTTAACCGGGTAGAATAATTTGATTTATTTAGCGATATTTCTCTCAATTTATGGCAATTCAAAATTACTGATAAGGTAGTCTTCTGTAATAATCTCTCATTACGTAACCACAGCCAAGGCTCTTAAATGATCCTACGTTAAAATTTCACCACAACTGTAGGACAAATCTCACTCACAGTGAGTCAAAGGTAGAAGGTTTTCCCAGAACTATCAATACAAATAAAAACTTGCCTACACCACAGTTATGGCCTCTAAACTTTCATTAAACTAAAGAACTTAATTGGATCTTTTATTTCTAATTAGGGAATAGAATTATTGTAGAAATGGTTGAGAATTTTCACCTGTATCTCCGTCTATGGCGTGTCATGAGTGTGTATACTGTATAGGGTGTTTTTCTTAAGTAAAGATGCACTATATAGCCTAGAGATTTTAAGATGTCAATATTTACATAATTTTGATTGATGTCATCCATAATAACAAGTATGAATGATTCATCACTAACTTACTTAATACTAATACCTACCAACACTGATTAACTCATTAACAATATCATAGTTTACTAATCTTAACTAAAAGAATAATCCAAAATAACTTATCAAAACTAATAATTAGTCAAAGACATTTTTCAGGTTATCAGAAGATAACATCAACATAACTTTCACTAATAACTACAGTTCAGAAATGTCTTTAGTTATTTAAGAGTTGTTATCACTAGGGATCCATTAGACATATTTATAACTCAGTGTCTTCCTTACAGCGATCTCTTGGAAGACATATTGGTGATCGGCACCACAGGACCCGAGGTTGAGGAAGTCATACACACCTTACCTGCAGATGTTCCTGAGCTTGTGCTTAACACATTGGTTAATGACCTTGTTGAGCCGACTGTCCAGGCTGTCTTGGAGTCTGAAGTACCAGTGGCGGAAGAAGAGTTCCAGCTTGCTGACATAGACCTGAGACAGTCGGACGCTGTACAAGAAGTGGTCACAAATGTTGTCCCTCAGGTGAACGTGATCGATGGAGGCGTCGGACTCATTAGTCTTGGTGACCCAGAGTTTACTGATCTGTCAATTGGGGAGCCGCAGGAGGGCACAGTCCTGGACATCTCTCAGCCTGATGTGTTGTCAGTCTCACAGCCCGACCTCGGAGTGGCGGTAGATCAGAGGTAAGTGTTATGTGTTTAAAGCATCACTCGCCCCCTGAGATACCAGAGAGGTTTAATGCACAGTGCAAGTGATCATTAACGACTGAGCACTCACCCCCTCTTAACTATAAAATGGTGTTCTCCCCGTGCACTCTACCCCCCCCCCCTTACACACACCACCTGCACTGTACCTACACCACACACCTCCTAACACCATGCAAGGTACACACTGGAGATAATGCTACCACCACCACACAGTCCACACCTAATAAAGACACCATCAAACATGTCCATTGGTGTGATCACGACACACAAGAACCTCCAACACCCAACAGTGACACCAGCCATAATCTAGTGTCCTCTGATGCTACTTGACGGCACAGGTGGAGGATAGTTAAGGCCATCATGCTTAGAGTAACACAAGGCTGATATAGACCAATGGGAAGGACTGTTCTTGGCTGTGTGGTAACTCACACCAATGGTCGCTTGATAACACCACCTCCTCCCTCCCAGTATAACACTACACTAGTGATGCATGGTTCACCAAATTGTTGTTGTATCTGTAGAGTAAATAATAATAATTGACAGCAGCTAAACGTGATGATGTTGATGAGGTAAAGTTTTCAATAAGAGCATGATGATAACTGTGAGGCAGTGTTTGTTTACCTTCACAATACGAGACAAGTTGCATGTCTCTCTGCATGAGAAGAACTCAAGTGGTCAGGTCACAAGCAAGTTAGTCCAGGTCTTAGCCTCAAACTCTCTCAGGTACATAACATCTCAAGTGTTGAACATGTTGAGGATCACATCTAAGGTGAAGTAAACACTCCAAAATATTCCTTCACTCGAGAAAGAAATAAACACAAAGAAAATAGTTGATAATTTTGGAAATGTCGATGTTTTACCGGACACTTTTACCGGACACAAACAGTACAGCAGAGACGAGGAACCAAGAGACCAGGATTATGTTTCTCTTTATCTCTCTTGTTAGTCACGTAAACCCAACACCAACACTAAACTACAATATACTTTAAACTCTTTAAAATATCAGCTTAAATATTTATAACAGAGTCAACAAGACTTCGCTCACAACCAGTATTAGTTTGAGCGACACAAGACAGCAAACACAGCTTACTGAACTAATTCACATTGACAAGAGTTAAGATGGATTAAAAATAAACTAATCACTAAGTTTAAAAGTATGAAACTTGAGTACAGTACAGACAGTTGACTGTAGTAGAAGAACTTGCTTGAGGCCTGGAGAGTAGACTCAAGTGTGTGGTGGCAGAGCAGCAAGATATGATACGCATGTTAATGGGAGCGTTGCATGTTACCCTCACAGCCAACTGACGGTGAATCAGCCTGACGCTACTGGTGACGCCATCCTCGACGCTCCATACAACGCCGTTTCCCAGACCTCCCAATTCCTTTCCCAGGTCGATACCAGCTCTCAGGTAGAGGGCGCAGGTGGTCTGCAGGTGGTAGCGGCGCCCTCATTGTCCCCGCGAGTCGTTGATGGTGAGCTGAAGGTGGTGGATGTAGGTTCTCCTCAGTTCGTGGAGTCGAGTCAGGGCACAATTGGTGGCAGTTCGCTGGTGTCAGTGAGTGAGGCACAGCTGATTTCCGTGTCACAGCCCGAGAGTTTGTCTGTCTCGCAGCCTGTGTTTGTGGCTGTTAATCCTCCACAATCACTAGGAGGCTCCTCACAGTCCCAGGAGGGCCCCCAGTACACTCGCTTCACTTCAGGCAGCCAGGACACACGTTATACTGACGGTGGTTCATCTGTGTCCCAGGGTGTGTCTTTATTCCAGACATCCTCTCAGGGCCAGCCGGGTCAGTCTCAAGTAGTGTCACTGAGTAGCCCTGAGGTACAGAGTGTAGGAGACCCACAGACTGTGTTAGTGTCGCAGCCACAACTTGTTGCCGGACAATTGCCTCAAGGAATAGTGGAAGCTGATGTCAACATTTACCCTGGAGTGTCCCTGTTCCAGACTTCCTCCCAGGGACAGTCACCTGGAGGCGCCTCACAGTCCCAGCAACAACTCCAGTTCACTGGGTTCCCTTCAGGCAGCCAGGACACACGTTATACTGACGCTGGTTCATCTGTGTCCCCGGGAGTGCCCATATTCCAGTCATCCTCCCAGGGCCAGCCGGGTCAGTCTCAAGTAGTGAGTTTGAGTAATCCTCAGGTACAGAGTGTAGGAGACCCACAGACTGTGTTAGTGTCTCAGCCACAAGTTGTCGCCGGAACTCCTCAGGTGATAGGAGAGCCAGGTGCTTTTGAGGTTCACGGGGGATCTAGTGGTCAAAATATAGAGTCGGTCTTCTTGAGGACTAATCAGGAGTCAAGTGGTGAGTCTCAGTTTGTGTCGGTGCCAGGACCTGTCTTACCGACTATAGAACAGTTGCAGCCTGTGGCCTTCTCCCAGCATCAGTTCAACAGTTTCGATCAAACACTATTTGAGGGATCTCAACAATCGTCTCGGGGGTCGTCAAGTTCTCTCCAAAGCGATGGTTCTATCGTACAAGGGAACCTTGCACAGTCTTATGTACCTTCTGAAGAACAATCTCAGAGTATTGGAGATGCTCAGTTCAGTACCGACGGCTTTACACAACAGTTCTCTCAGGGATCATCGTCCGGCGGGTCAGTGGTTGAAGGTGACCTCGTCGGGTCTCAACTTTCTGATCAGTATTTCAACAATTTTCCGTCACTACAATTCTCACAACAGTCGTCTGGCTCTTTCCACGATGACGGATCTATTGTGTCAGGGATCCTAGACGCGTCCTACATTCCTCCGAGGTCTGAAATTACTCAGTTCAACAACGTCTCACCACAACAGTTCTCTCAGGGGTCCTCGTCCGGTGGGTCTGTGGTATCAGGTGACCTCGTCGGGTCAGTCATTGGTCAGAATTATGATAGTTTCCAGTTCAACACTAACGAGGACTCACAACAAACGTTCCAGGGATCCTCCTCGTCTGGCGGGTCTGTGGTACAAGGCAATCTAGTCGGTCAAAACTTCGACAATATCCCGACACAGCAGTTTTCACAGCAAGCCTCGTCTAGCTTCTTTCAAAATGAAGGTTCTGTAGAGGGGGATAACGTCGTTGGGTCACGTAGTCCGGTTCAGAATTTCCAACGTTTCGAGTACATCAGTAATGATGGCTCTGAGCAGACCTCTCCGGGGTTGTCGTCCAACTTGTTCCAGGACGGCGGTGCTTCTGTTGTGCCTGGAACACTTGATGGGTCGCTGCAGGAACCACCGAGATTTGAAGACTTTGTATCTAACAACCCTCAGCAGTTTTCTCAGGGATCTTCACCTGGGTCGTTCCACAGCGGCGGGTCTGGGGTCTTTATCCAAGGGGAGCCACACCTGGTGGGTGAGGTTCAGGTGGACCAGACAGGGTTTGGGTCGCTCCCTTCCTTCTCCGTTGCACAGCCTGAATTATTGGAATCTACCTTCTCTTCGGCCGCGAGCCAGGACACCCCAGGCATCCCTCTGGCCTCAGCCTCGCCACAGGTGAAGACTGCAGACATGGGCTCCCTACCACTCGCAGATTCCTCCCTAATTTCCTCTTCCTCTCCCTCATTCCCTCCTTTCCCTGGAAACTCTGACACCATCAATGCACCGCTCAAGTAAGTGTGACCTCGACTTGACTCTTGGTATGTATGCCCAGCTGGGGACACAGTACACCTATGGGTCCTTATCACTACCAAACACAGTTGTTGTTTTGACCAGACGACACAAGTGGACGGCGTTCATGTTACTACCCAACTGTTCACCATAACAACACCGCCCTGTTATAAGTGTCCTGCACCTTCTTATATCACTCCAGTATATTGATCAGTCTCTTATATCACTCCAGTATATTGATCAGTCTCTTATATCACTCCAGTATATTGATCAGCTTCTTGGGTTACACACATTATCGTACCCACTTTGTACTACTTTCTCCCTCTATGTAATGAAGCCTAAAGCAGGAGAAGGAGGAGTATGTAGTGACTAACGTGGTGGTGTGGTGTCTCCCCTACAGCACTGTAGACCAGTTCGTGTTCCCCGCCCCAGCACCACAACCCAACCCTCTGTGAGTACTGTACTGCTGGCACCTCTCTCGTGTGCCCAACTTAAAATAAACACGTTTTCTTCCCAAACTTAGAATAATTATGTTTTCTTCCCAACTTAGAAAAAACACGTAACTTAGAATAAACATGTTTTCTTCCCAACTAAGAATAAACATGTTTTCTTTCCAACTTAGAAAAAACACGTTTTTTTCCCAACTTAGAATAAACATGTTTTCTTCCCAACTAAGAATAAACATGTTTTCTCCCTAACTTATAAAAAAAAAATTCTTCCTAACTTAAAATAGATGTTCTCTTCCTAACTTAGAATAAATATGACTGAGGGGCTCTTTATCTCCTCAGAACCTTCAATGTGGACGTGACGAGCCAAGTACAGGACCAACAGGTGTACATCACTCCTCACTCTGAGTAAGTCTCTCCCTCCATCCCTCACCACCTCCCTCCCATCGGCCTTTCCTCCCTTCCTCCCGTGCCTCAACCTTCACTGTCGCCTTCTTGTTATTTTTGTTTTCCGTTTTATTAATAACAAAAACAATAACAAAAGGTTAATTATTATTATTATTATCATCACCAAAGTTACATCAGTCACACTTCACTAGAGAGAGACCATAACTGTGAGGCGTCACACGTCAAGTGTCACTCGGTAATAACCCAAGTTTCTGCCACACTTAGGTCTCCTCTCTCACGTTACCTGGTCAAAAGTAATTAGTTACCTTAGTTACTACATATATGACCTTATTACCTGTCTTTTAGGTGATTACTGGCCTTCATTAATTATGTATGATTATGTAAGTTTGTTTTTGTATTCTCATGTTTAGGTATGTATACAGTATTGTAAACTCACATTGATAGATTTATAGACCTTTTTTATTAGAGGAGAGTAACTATACCTCACTGACAGCCTCCTCAGGTGGGTGTATTGAGCAGGAGGAGGAGTCAGTGAGGTACGGACACTGTTCTGAGACAAGACCCAAACAGGCTGTGCAGACTAGCAGTGCCCGGTCGTGCCCAGACTAGGAGCCGCACAAATAAGTTTACAGGTCTGTGTGTGACCGACACTTGCCCATTTGACAAGTTAATATTTTGAGAGGAATAAACTTGACGGGAATTTGTCAGGTGCTGTGACCCGCCTCACTGTACAGTACATGTTTAACTCTGCCTCACTGTACAGTACATGTTTAACTCTGCCTCACTGTACAGTACATGTTTAACTCAGGAGGTCCATCAACATGACAAGTGTTAACACCACTGACACCTGAATATAGGGGAGGGGAGAGTGTGACTTGAGGTGACAAGTGTTGGCCGCGACAATAGTTACCGCCACTGACACAATTTACATGGACACGAGTGATCTGTGTGTTGATAAACAATAATTTGAATGTTTTAAAATGTTTATTTAACTTTTCCATAAATAAATCGGGCTTAAATTTCCTCAAAAAATTGTCAGGACAAGTAAATGTTGTCCATAATCTGCACAGCCTGAGTTGGGTCTACCCACGACACTCAACACTCCCGTGTAGACCAAGTAGCTGTTGTTGACTCATAACAAACAGGCATGCTGGTTGTTGACACCTGTACATAGACAAGTAGTTGTATTATTATTATTAACCTTGTGGCTGCGGGAGGTTTACCTAGGCTGAATAAAATAATCTGACGGCGGCCAGTAAGTGTGGGAGTCTCGTCAACAGGGTAAACATATGACCATTGGTCGACATGATGTGTTGTTGACGATTATTTCCTGGTGTTGCATTGTTGCTCCGTCAGTTGTGTTGTGGAGGTGTAGTGTTGTAGCTCCGTCAGTTGTGTAGTGGAGGTGTAGTGTTGTAGCTCCGTCAGTTGTGTAGTGGAGGTGTTGTGTTGTAGCTCCGTCAGTTGTGTAGTGGAGGTGTAGTGTTGCAGCTCCGTCAGTTGTATGAGGAACACCTGAGGTCCTACACAGGCCATCACTCGACCTATCATACTGGTGTTTATGGTCACAGTACAGACACCCGGCTCTCCGCCTTCGTACACACACACACACACACACACACACACACACACACACACACTTCCTGCTGCCGAGTTGAGATAACTTCTGGGACTCAACCTCACAATCCCATGATAGAGGCACGTCCTTCTGCACGTACTCTTCCTTTCCACTCGCCTCGTCACCGCAGCTCTATGGGAACTCTTCTCTTGAGTGTTTCTCACCATCGTTCTCAGTCAATCATGTGGGCACTTTTCTCTGTTTGTTCCCACCTTTACTCTCCCTCTCCAGCACTAGTCCTCTCCACATGTGATATCTCTTGTTGGTGGCTCTCAAAAGTTGTTCCACACTGCAAGCGAGGACAACTACCCTCTCTTGAGTTGATACAGAAGTTATTGTGATCTGTTTACTTAGTGACGATGAATAAAGAGGAGTCATCGCTTGGTTATCATCTTGCTCACTTTACAGTCATTTAGATCATAATTCCCAGATGCCGCCTCTTCCTTATCTTAACCAAGTGTACCTGGGGAACTGTGGGCCTTTAGCACCTAATTGGTGTTCCAGCACGGTATGATACCTTACGCTTTTCTCTTGCTTCTGACTATGATGTCTCCCGTCAGCTCTACTAGACTGCACGCTGTCTGCCACTAACTATAAAAGGTTAAATAAGTAGTCACTTCTAACTTGGTGAAGTAGTTGTAGCGCTGTAACCCCTGCAGGTATAGTCGTAGTGCACTTACAGACACATGCATGCTAACGAAATACCATCACATCGGCTGCTGATGCCGTCTCATCGTCTTTCCAGCTCTCTACGTGACGCTTCAAACCCTCGTAATATCATTCAAGCTTCTGCCAATACTGCTTCCAGCTTGGATAGCTCCCAGGCCTTTAACTCAGTAGCCAGCCAGTCCTCTGTTAGTCAGTCGAAAAGTATTACCAGCAGCCAGTTTGGGTCGTCGCGTCGTAACCCGCCATCAGAGAACTCTCCTCTACATAACTTCCGCCCCTTCGCTAATGATGAGTCGGGCTTCGAGTATTCTGCTCCTGGACAAAGGGTTCAGATTTCTTTCGGTCCTCGCTCACGGAAGAACAGACTCAGATCCTTCAGCTTTGCCAAAGGCAACTCTGACAACAGTGCCTCTGACAACAGTGCCTCTGACAAGCCCCGGCCAGCACGAGGGACAGGCAGGGCCTTGCTGGGAGGTGGTCTTGGTAACTACCTCGACCCTAGAAATAGGTCTCGGGCGCCATTGTTCAACACCAAGTCTACGACATCAGATGAAACACCTTCAAGGTTCAGTATCGCGAATCCTGTAAAGTCTACTACCGAGGAGGCTGCCATAACCACTGCCACGCCATCGACTACCACCACGAACACAACCACCACTATCACCATCACCACTACTCCATCGATTGAGACCTCTACAACAATCTTTGACTCAGGCACCACAGACACCACCACCACCACCAGCTCTCGAGATCTACCACGCAGACGTTTCCGGCCTATTCCACGTCGACGAATTATTTCGTCTTCGTCTTCTTCCTCCAAAGACGGCCGCCGGCACTCTGGGCTCTTTTCTGTCAGGCACCGTGGCACTCCCAGGCACCGCCCCAGCGTCTCCGTAATACTTGACCAAGACAAAAATAACGAGAATGATTTTATAAAAGAAAAAGATGATGAAAAACACGAGTTGAGAGGTGAGGGGTTAAAGGAGGAGGTCGTCCCTCTCATCCAGGAAGAGAAGGTAGAGAAGGGGCAGACCCCGCTGGAGGCCCACAAGTAAGTATGACTCGTCTAGTGACGCTCTGACTGCTGCAGGTATGACATCTTTGGGTAACTCACGACTCTTAGACGAAAACATAGTCAACTAAAAATGGATATTGACCTAAACATTGACCAAATACTGAAGGATAAATAATAACAATAAACAATATTAAAGAAATAACTATTTTGTCAGTAGGATGTAAGTTAATTTGTTTAAGCCATTGTAGTCAGAGAAAATATAATTTTGTTTTACTTTCAGTAACACAGTCGGCAGTGTGGATGGTAGAGGTTCGGGCAAGTCCATCTCCGACGGCCAGCCTCAGAGGAACAACTTGGGCTTTGTGTTCCCCCAAAGACGTGACTCAATCCTGCCCTTCGGCACTCGCCTTGCTCATAGAAGACCCAATTCCCCCCTTACTAACTCCTTCACTGGTAATTAACTCCCTGCTTACTGCCACAGTGCTCACATGACCTGTTGTGACCTGACTGCTTGCTTGTGTGACCCTCAGACACCATTATTGACCTGCACCATTGACCTGATTGTCTAATTTATAAGGTAATAACCACGCTTACTCACCCTGCCGACCTTGTTACAGGTCCCCTCCCACTAACCTCTGGCCCTAACCTCCCCCCGACGCTGTCCCTGATGACCCTCACTAACTCCCAGGACCTGACCACCTCTCCCACGACCCTCGCTGAGACTCCTTCACCAGTCGTCGTCTTCAGCACCCAGACTCCGGCGTTTAACACGCCCCCACCTCAGGCATCATTCAAAGCACCAAATACTCTGAACTTTTTCAACGCGCCCACAACTACGCCCCCACCCGTCGTGTTCTTCAGCACACAACCTCCAGTATTCAATGTACCTTCAGCTGGGAACACTTTCAGAGCGCCCTCACCTCAGGTTCCTTCACAAGAATCCACGTCGTTCAACCCCTCCCCACCTCTGTCTCCCTTTAACATGATCCCCGTTATACTTCCTGTCAATATGGTCCCCGTCGTAGCTCCCCTCAACCTGCCCTTTGTGGTGGCTCCCGTCAACCCTCAGCCCACAATAGATCCCAACAACCCCCCCACCCCACCCAGCGAGTCTCTCAAGCCTCCTCTTAACTTCCCCTCCCACCAGTCCACAGTAGCACCCCGCCTTCAACGACTCTTCCCCAGTCGTCAGCTGGCCAACAGCTTCACCCTCCAACAGAACAGTCAATCGTCGTCATCACAGTCGTGGCGGGGACAGTCAAGTAGCACCAGCACGTCCCAACTCCCTGGTGGTGTGGGGGTCCTGCAGCAGCTACGTCAGGCACAAAGTAGCAACACACAAGAAAAGTCTACCTCCTCCTCCTCTTCGTTCTCAACTAACAGCCTCGCCCAGCCGCTGGATAATGAAACTCCCTTGACGACCCCGGGTCCCTCTAGGGACAGAGAGAGGCAGTTATTGTCTCCAAGGCGTCGTCCGACACTTCGTCGCCCCTTGACGCCCATCACGCGACCCAGATCACAGGTTGTGCAGACGCCCGTGTCCGACGAGTACATCAAGGCCTTCCCTGAAGTTGCGGCGCCTGAGGGCTTCCCCGGCGAGGACCCCGAGGAAGACACCATAAAGGAAGCCATCTTCGAGCTCCAGCGGCTCAACTAACATGAGCCACACAGGGATCCTCTCTCACTCTGTACATAGCCCCTATTTATCCCCTTCACTATACTATAAGTTTGTTAAGTGGTGTGTTTACAAAGACTGCCAGTCCCGTGACTCACAACAAGTTTAGTCTTGTGGGAATCCTTCGCTCAACAACACAACCTCTATTTATTATTTTAGAACTCATGTATTTATAGTCCTTGTTGGTTATATCATACATAATGAAAACTAAATCAAAATATTTCAGTACTGTTCAGACACCATTTTGTTGGCGACACTGAGGCTGTCGAGAGACTGATAGTAATTCTTGTTCTAAGTCAGAATCATAGTAGATTTATTACTGTATGAGCCGCTGTTTGAACGATAAGTTTTGTGATAGTCTCAACCTTGTGTGTCCCCAACCTTAAATTACCATAATGCATTTGGCTGCCTCTACTCTGCAACATGGTGGAGAGGAGGCAGGCAGGCACACCTCACCTTTGTCTCATGAACTAGATGTTAACAGTTGTACTGCAGGCCAGTCCAACTTTACAGTTGTCTGTGTAAGACATTTTTTGTAAAAAAAGTACAAAATATATTTTGTTTTGTTGTTTAATATTAAACCAAATCTATGTCACCAAGAGAAACACACACACACACACACACACACACACACACACACACGATAATTTGAGAAGAATAAAGAAACATTAACTTGTTTCTAAGAATTCTAACTTTGAAAAATTATCGGTCAAATATTTGTCCTAATAATTAAAAAAAAAATGGTCACCTCGGAAAATTAACAATGTGATTCAGGACCATATTTTAGGTATCAGTGTTTAAGTTTTATACCTACGGTTCTTGTGATTATTTCTCATACACACTTGAGGAAAGGGGTGTGGTTTTGGTTGCCCTGCCTCATTGCTGAAGTAACAGTTAGTATGTCGAAGCTTCGTCTTTTTTACATTTTGAGGCAGATCATGTGAGGACAGTGACAAGCCAAATGGCAGTGCAAACAGCAAAGTACAACATTCAGAAGTAACGGTCCTTCTTAATAACAGGTGATAGAGGAATGAAAATGTCTCCTCGTTGATAAAAGTCATGATTTTAGAGTGATAAGCAAAAAACAACAAGCCTAGCAAGAGGTGACAGTTGGCCGTCCAGTACACACCCCTGTAAAATATGGAAGCACACAAACCACAGTATTAAGATTGCATTAATTTTACTATAGCTTTGAATTATGAAAGTCTGATATCGATTCATAGATCAATAACATAACTTAATCTCCAAATACCGTAGTGCATCCTGAGGAAACTTAAATATTTCACGTCGTGTTTCTAGAGCTTCCTACAACTGAAATGCAATATATTCAACTCAACTTAGATATAAAAAAAAAGACATACACCTCTTGAAATATTAGTGGGTTATATAGTGATTGTTTTATTTACGTTAATAATAGTATGAAATTTAATATAGCATGTTTGGGTCTTTATTATTGCAAGTGCAGTTCAATATCAACATTTCATAAAGCCCAAACCGAAGTATTGTGACAGACTGACAGGTTACCATCAGATATAAATATTATTGTTGATTTGGTATTAGTAAAGATAGATGACGCAAGTTTATTCGATTTTATTTTATTTAGTTTTTTATATAATTATTAAACTAGATAAAGTTGAGCCATACAGAGGCAAATCATTACAGCTGTGGGCGTGTTGACAGTCGGGAGCTAAACGACACAAATTAGTCTGTACAATGATTATAATGTGAGTTATTATGTAATCACTGAGGTGTTCAAGGACTTACATTGTTGACCATTATTTCACAATCTAAGGGTCGGAAGTGTGTGTGTGTGTGTGTGATGGAAGGGAAGGGTGAGGGTGGAGGAGGTGTGAAGGTAGGGGAGAGGGATGAGGGAGGGGAAGATGTAAAGGGGTTTGCCGAACGGTGTGAGGGGAGGGGGGAGAAAGGTGTTAGAAGGAGGAAGGGGGAAGATTAAGGGGGAGGGGGTGCCGGACATTAGTAGGAAGCCACACAGTGCACCTCGTCCGGTCACTGGCACGTCCCGGGAGCTTCAACGACCCGCTTCCTGTAGTATTGTTGACCACCCCCACCCCCACCTCCTACCCCACCCACTCCTACCCCCACGATGATAGTAACTCTCTCTCTCTCTCTTGGAGTTAAATTGTCTCATTAAATTAGATACACACACACCCACACACACACACACACATACAGTACAAGAAAAAAGTCATAGAAAGTGTAGCTGAGATAATTATGTGAATTCAAAAACAAGAAAAGAAAATAGTATGAAAGAAGGAGGAAGGACAGAGAGAAGATGAGAAGAGTTACGAGAACAGTAAAAGAAACCAAAACGAAAGAAGAGATGAAAGATGGAAAGAAAAGCTGGATCTCCTGAAGAAGAATCTCCACCCCAGCTTATTTCACCTGAAGATTAACCACCCTAATACTATTTCGGGGGTTAGGTTAGGTCTCTCAACCAGAATATGTTTGTCACTATCTGCCATTCTCTGTCAGTTGCCTAATTTTTTCCCACAGACGGGTACAGTGACAGGATCTCCACCACCTCACCACTAACACAGTCACGCCACACTGACACACTTACCACCACCACCACTAAATGAACCCACGCCTTTATTTATGACGTAAGGTATTGTACGTTTGTGTCACCAGCTGTCCCCATTATACACACACACACACACACACACACACAGGCTGAAACTTTAGGTTATATCTTTAATTACTGAGACACGGTGATATGTGTTTGCCGTGTAAGTATCAAATGCCTTGGTTCGTTCACATCCAGAGGCCATATGTATGACTTAGTGGTGAAGTCTCATAAGGTCGTGTGTGTTTCAAGGGTATTCTTACCTCTGACACTGTTTTTCACCCATGCACCGAAATGCCAGTCAAGGACAATACAAAATTCTCGATTCCTACTTGAAGAGAGAACCAATGGTATAATGATAATGTTAATGTTTGCTTTTGTGAACATCTGATTACTCTGGCAGGTAATATCGCGCGTGTTGGTTGGCAGCAATGGTGGGGACTTACCAGGACGGGTGGTGATGGTTCCCGGTCATCAGTCGTGTTACTGCCATCACCCACACCGCCCCTCTCCTTGTGTTGTCAGCTACACGTTTGGAGAAAAAGGAAGTGAGGGGTGCTTCAGCAGGCGGTGGTCAGAGGATAAACACTTGCCACAACTCGTGTGTTTAAGTACAAGACTTAGTATTACTATACATCTTCAGCATAACGTACCTGAAGTTAAGTACATTTTGTGTCTTGCATCCATGTGACTGATCAAACCTGTACTGTAAACAACATGTTAATAATGACAGCTAAGTGTCGGCGTCGACGACTGGGCTTGGTGATGGGGGCGTTGACGGTGGCGGGAGTGGTGGCGGTGTTATGGCTGGTGTCAAATGCATCTCCTATTCTCAAAAATCCCATATTTTTGGTTACTCCTCGCCAAAGCCATCTGCCTCGTGTTTACCATACGCCGGGAGTGGAACTGCACACAGAAGTGGGGACAGAAATGCCCTCTGACCGCCTTTGGCACCTGGACTTAAAAGGCGGTGCCCCTCGGATAAAAGTTATTGAAGGGATTATGATGCTGGCGGCACGGGCGGGGGCAACGGGCGTGCTGCTAGAATGGGAAGACATGTTCCCCTTCTCGGGTGCCCTAGCCAACCTTTCCGCCCGCAACGCCTACACTCATGAAGAAGTGAAACACATTGCGACAGCAGCTAAGACTGCAGGACTGACGATGGTTCACCTGATGCAGAGTCTAGGCCACCTGGAGTACGCCCTCAAGTTGCCACAGTGGGTGATGCTGAGGGAGGGGGAGAGCCCGGCGGAGGCGTGCCCCTCCCACCCTGGCACGGCGCGACTGGTCATCGAAGCGGTCAATCAACTCATGGAGGCGGTACCCACGTCAATCATTCACATCGGCGCTGATGAAGTGTTTACACTTGCCCAGTGTAAGCGTTGTCAGGCACGTGAGCAAGCGCCCCTCCGGCTGTACGTAGATCACGTGGCGCACGTTGCACAACACGTCAAGTCCAGGTGGGGGGTACGAGTGCTGGTGTGGGACGATATGCTGCGACACGCGCCGTCTTACCTGCTGCACTCCTTGGCCGGGCTGGTGGAGCCCACAGTGTGGGCATATGGACCGGATGTATCAAGGATGGTGCCACCCTACATATTAAGGACTTACTCGGCCGTCTTCCCCAGGGTGTGGTTGGCTCCGGCCTTTAAAGGCGCCACAGGGCCCCTCGCCATTATGCCGGATGCAGCCAGGCACGCCGCCAACACCCTAGCCTGGGTGCAGGTAGGTCAGCGGATGAAGCACTACGCGAATCTAAATGTTGCCGGCATTGTGATCACCGGATGGTCTCGCTACGATCATTTTGCAGTATTGTGTGAGCTGCTGCCCCCGTCCACGCCGTCGCTGGTAGTGACATTGTTGACAGCTTCCCGTGGGTTTATGACTCCGGCCACACTGCACGACGCCCACACCCTGCTGGACTGTCCCCCACATGTGATGCTCGACCCTGCCAGAGACCCTCATCTCTGGGCTGCCCGCGACTGCGCCTTTCCTGGTGCCAACATGGTTTCCTTCCTTCACCGGTACGTCCGCTTGAGGGACGATGTGAAGACCTTGCAGAGAGAAGCAGAAGAGAGGGGTGGCTGGCTGACAGCCTACAACATCCGTCATAATTTTTCGTCCCCAAATAGGGTGCGTGAGTACATGACAAACCTGCGCTCCTTTATCTCAGCCCTGAAAGACCTGCACGGCGAGGCAGAAGCGGTTTTGACCCAGTACCACAACACTGCCACTGTGGAGGAGTGGACAGAGCAGCACCTGCTCCCCCTGAACCTCACGTTGTCCAAGTTTACCAGCGTGTCTGCCACACTCCTCAGTCACAAGACCTGGCCCAGGAGACCCCTAGAAGGGCGGCCGAGTTCCGCCACCTGAGGTTCTCTGCCCATAACCTCACCCACGTAAATGAACGGTACATACAGCCCCTGCCAAACTTGTTTCTGAAAATGAAACGAGATAGTGGCACGAGTCTACCGCGGACTGTAGGTTGGCTCTCTTTCATAAAGGAAGATTCATCAACTCTGGACAATAAGGAGCGACGTCATGGCGGAGCTCCTCGAAGGATCACTACTACTATACTGTAAATCAGTGAATACACTCTGTACATGTCACGCTGCAACAAGCTAAGAACTCAAACTGTTGAGCTAAAGTTCGTATACCACGTGAACTCTATATTATCTTCCCTGTTAAAGAAAAAATGTGATGACAATAAAACCGTAACAGAGACGTGACCGACCGCCCAAGTAGCTAATGAGCCGATCAGTGGTACAGTGGATCAAAGCAAAAGTAAAAGAACAAATTTTCCCACCTCTACGAAGCATTTAGTGGAAGAAGTTCTGTGAGACACCAATGATTGTGACAACCACAAACCTGTATTGTTCTCTCAGTGTCTCAACAATCGCGCCACCCTGACTCCTATTCTTACCGAGAAGAGAGAAAACGGGCGTGTAAATTAAGTTTATACGAGTGTGCATATAAGGGTGTACAATAATTATTTCTTTTAAATAATATTATTATCATCAGCCTCTATGAGCCATAAATAATCACTGTCTGTGTTTTTATTATTTTGATTTTACGTGGAGAAACTTAAGTAGATTCTTGTCTTACTATGATCATCCTCTTGTAATTGTGTACATAAACTTTTGTAAATATCGTACTAAAGTGAATATTTAGTTTAATGACATTTAATAGTATTTACTGTATAAGTATATAATTAAGAGGGGTGCTCAACTAAGCTGGTTTATAATAAAAATATCAGTACCACAGCTCGTATTTTATTTCCCAACACAGTAGCCTTCTTTAGCTTCACCTCCCATCAATCACTAGGCAGAGTAGATGCCAAAAAAATAATACTGAAGAACCTGATATTGAAGAGTCATGGTAGAAGCTGGATGGAAATGATTCATGAAAAAGAAACTTGCATCACAATCTGTAACGATAAATTAACCCGCAAAGGATATAATAATTAAGAATAAGTTGTTATTGAATAAAATATAAATAAATAAATATATGAGTAATTCGAGAAAAAAAAACCAGATAAATATATGAAAAAAAAACTTCCTTGATTTCTTCTGCTTCCTTTTATTATTATTATTATAATTATTATTATTATTATTAAAGCTTTGTGCTTGTATACCCTGACTAGACCAGCAGACAATGGTGTGTGTGTCTTTGAGAGATTACCAGACTATACTTAAGATATTTTACCGTCCAACAGTATGTATTAAGAGTGATATTTATAATCAGCTGAACATTAGGGATTCCTGAAGCTATTGAGATATATTTCGTAAGTTGCCATTGTGCTGAGGGATTATAAATAAGGTGAACAAAGGAAGTTTATTTGAGGAGTGAAAGATATAGAGGTACAGGATGTCAGAAAAATGGATACATAATGTTTTATAGGTATTGGTGGTGGTAGAATGGCTATTATTGACCACTGACACGTTATTTGTTTGTTATTTATATTCTTACTATATTTTTATCATCGAGTCTTGATATGATAATCATTTGGTAATTATTGACTACTGACCCGCCACTGATTTTTTATTGAAAACTGTTATAAAAACGCTGCAATATCACTTGTGTTTTATAGTGGACACTTGTAATTTGTGCAAATGTGCTAAAAAGTGGTTATTTCTAAATTAAATGTAACCTAACCTTAGTTGATATGAATAACAACTGGCAGAAGCATTGTTAGAAGACCTCACCAACTTAACCAAACAGACCTACCTAATCTTACCTGACTTAAGTTTTTTGTGGACTTGAGAGCAGCCACCCATACCGAACGGCTCATAAACATACGCTGAGCATCGGCGTTGATCCGGCCCGGGCGGCGGAGTGTTTTGAAATACGTCAATATGATTGACTGTCTACATCCTGGGATGAGACATCACCGTCGCATTACTGACGAGATGACAAAGTACCGCGTGCCTAGGCGCCTAATTGTCTACCAACCGCAGCACAAGAAATTATTATCGTCTTAGAACTCACTGATGAAAATATATTAAGAAATAAACATCAAAACAAATAATGCGTCGGTGGGTCAGTCATCAATGTTAACCAATAAATTTTTGGGAAATTGCTTCCTTTGGTAGATAATTAGGCGACGAGGGGCGAACTACTTTGTCTTTCTGTTTAATATGCTGGGGGGGGGGTAGAGCCTTACCGCTAGGTAAGGTTAGGTAGGTGTCTTTGGTTAGGTTGGTGATGTCTTCTAACTGCCTCTGCCACTTGTTTTTCTTATCAACTAAGGTTAGGTTATGTTTAATTTAGAAATAAGCAGTTTTTAACTAATTTTCTAAACTACAACAGTGTCCATTATAATACACTGAACTTGCAGCATTTTAAAATTCGTTTTCTGTGAAAAATCGGCGGCGGGTCAGTTGTCAATAACTACCGAAGAAAGTATTTTTCACTTGATCGTAGACATCACGTACCATAAATTATGTTCACTACCTCCAGTGCCCTGCCAGTTCATATCCCTAATCCTTTTAAAGTTTGTTATTAGATACTCTGGGCATACAGTAGTCCTTTGAAAATTCTATAAGCATGATTCAGCCTCAGTTGCTTTACTCTATCCACCACACTTAGCATATTCAGTAATTGAAGGACTTCGTGACCAATGTGATTTCTTGTTTTCACTTCAAGAATGAACTTCTTCACCTTGTTTTGAATAAATTGTAGCTTGAATTTTAGCTCCTGTGTTAAGGGCTCTGCTCTATGATGAGCAGGAATAGTCCAAGTGACAGTGTAACGGCGCCAAGCAAAGGGTTCTCCGGGCCGCAGCTGAGAGGCATTTAATATTTCCTTCAAAAAATTTATCCTGGCATTACTTTTATTTACTATAATATCTATGATTAATTCACCAGATAAACAAGAGTTAAGAGTTAGCCCAAGGTATTTCACTGAGGCAACAGTTAAGATGGGTTCATTCCCACGTAGTACTGTACAATGATTTCATTTGCTTGTTTTAGTTTTCTTTTTAATCCTTATAATATGTCTTCTGGCTTTCTAAGATGGAGGGATAATTTTTTGTCTATAAGCCACTGTTTGCATGACTCCAATTCAGATGATAACTCTTAAGCTATATCATTTGGATCTTTATCTGACTCTTTAATCTAATTAGCCTTTTTTAAATCATTAATAATTTATTTGGGTTTGCAATCTATTGTAAAATGATAACACATCATAAATATTAACGTATTACAGCACATTTCCATAACATAAGAGTAAATCAGAATCTCGAAGGTGTGTTTCTGGGGGAGGGGGTGGCAGAAAGTATAGTACAGGTATGGTATATGAAGAACTGATGGTAATATTGATGTAGTCAGTGGCTATTGTGTTGTAAGTTATTGAGTGCAATTCAATTAAAACTTTTCTCAAGATTTGCAGACACGCCTTGGCTTCTCAAGCAGTTTTGGCCAGATTGTGTCCAACTCCAAGATCTCTACTAAAGTGCATTCACATGGGGACTCAAGAAAGTATCTCTAACTTTTACAAACTAACCCCAATTCAGCTTGGCTGTGAAGTCAGAGGGATCGACTTGAAGAAAGATGTACCAAAGGAAGGTAAAACTTAACTGGAGAGGGACTGTCTCATCTTATAAGTTGTGTTTTGTAGTGAGGTTTACTAGCCACTAGGAAAACTTGACTTGTTTTTCTTCTTATTATTATTATTAAATTTACCTCTTTGATGTCAGAAGAAAAGATAGAGCTCATTTAATGCCCCATTACTACTGATGAGATTGTCCATCTTGGATCCAGTGCTAGTGCAGGAGGAGACGAGTAGCTACCCAGAGAAGATCTTCATGTACAGTACAGTTGTCACATTGTACAACACCCTTCTTATGTCTGATCCGGAATCAAGCGTGTAATATGATGGATGATGTGTGGTGTTTTGTAGTTCATCTAAAATAACACAAAACAATAGTGTAAAAACAAATTAAGGTGGCATGTAATTAGCATTGTAAAACATTTAAATTTTCTAAGAGTGATAGGTTCTTAATAAGCATGTTCAGGAGTTCAGTACCTACATGTATACTGTGCTGTACAGTATAGTTCTGTATTAAGATTTTGAAGAAAGTCAAAATTTTCAATATTACGGCTGAAACAGTAAGGCTTATGCTTCAGTAATTGTTGGGTCGAAAAACGCTTTCCCTCGAAATTGGAAATTAATGCGTTTATTTATGGGAACCAAAAACACCGCACTTCCTTGTGGGCTCCCAGATCAATTTTACAATCTCTTAACTTCAACTATTCGGTAAGCTCCGACTTATTTTTGTTTAGTAAGAGTCAGTATCACTGTATAATTATAATGTAATAGATTATGAGCCACACCTCCCCTATACTGCCCTTTAATGTGGTTACTTAATTCTAGGGGTACTTAACTTACGTCTTAACTTAAGGTCGCTGCCGCCGGACCACAGGACAGTATGTGTAGTTTTTTTTTTTTTTTTAGGTAGCTGGCAGAGCAATCCAGGCTCTGTGAGTTCATGTTTTTCATTGATCAAGTTGAGAGTGGAAGAAAGGGTGAAACACCAACCAAGAATTTAACTAATTTATTTCTTAATATAAATATATTTCATTCAGTCACAATACAAAAATAGTTGACCTACACCAAGCAATTATTAAGGTCACTGCACTACACAACATAACCCGACCTCCTCCAAATAATTAATTAAGTTCTTCTCTCTTCATACAAAATCATTTACCTCCTTACCTAGGTCATTCCTTGCTACCATATCACCCCAAAGTACTCAATAGCACCAACATACTCGATAGCACCTTAATACTGTACACTCAATACATACAGGTACTGCAGCTTATTCTTAGCACCAAGGTACACTTGATGGGTATTCATTTCACACACTACTCCTGTTAGGTAGATGGGATCCTTCCAAGGCATTCATACCAGGACTGTTTCTGCATCCGGTATCATTAGGTCACTCAAAGCGGCGACCACATGCACCTCAAATAGCACCATCATTTCTACCTATCCCGGGTGTTGATGTGGTATTCATAGTGGAGGTTGCATAGTGGCCATAAGCATTACCCACAACACCAGATGGGTTCCTCAAAGTAGAGCAGTGGTTGCTGGGCCAAGCATTTCCTCCAAGACCTCACTGGTCTCCCTCTGCTCACAGGCGTGTACACATGTGTATGAGATGCAGAGCATCACTGAGTGTAGACAAATGCATTTACTGGCCTGATGGGCTTTTGTATTCACAAACTACATTACAAAATCTATTAATTAATTTATTATATTAACAATAACATTAGGCAAGGCTTTGAAATGTATATAAACTGCTAGATATGCCTCTTTAAGAACTCTTATGTAGCCCCAGCTGTAGTGCACTGACCTGTGTGTAAGAAATGTGGAGCCTCACTGAGGACGATGGCCCGTGCCACACACTGAATAGTCCTAAGGGTGCCAATGCTTAAATTTTCACCATGCCTTTATTCTTGCCCCCCACACATACACGTTCTTATATATTATGACTTTATACCTTATAGTCACTAACCATAATTCTAAATTACATTCCACATTAAGTGTCTGGTTTGTTAGGTTCCGGGTAAATTACTTTGGCTCTCTCATTACCCCGAAACTGTAGCCGTAGGCGGTCCTGGTGCCAAACAGACAAAGGCCTTGTTTCCTGGCTTGAGTCTATCTCCTTCAAGTTATTCTGTATGTATGCGTCATTTGCCACACTTTGCAATTGTTTAACACGTTCATAAGATTCTCAAATTATTACTCTGTTCGTGGCTATTCGTCACATGGGGTAATGATGTGTATTACGCTCACACCGAGGTACATAAGATATTTTCCTTGGAGTATTGTTTATGGGTCAATTCCATCACCTCACATATGTCTGATACCTTTATTTTTTTCCCAGATCATTGTTCTCATATATTTTCATCTGATACTTGAGGTAACTGTTTACTAATTGTACACAGACGTAAATACTATAACCTTCAGACACGGTCACACTTATTCACTATTGGTACACTAGTCCGTATCAATTGGGCCTTCCGAATCATCATAGAGATACCTTGAGTTCTCCTTTAATACTGTACTATCAGTACACATACCTAAGATTATATGCACGGACACTGGTATAATTCGTATAAAACAACATACAGCATACGAATTACCCCTTCCAACACTTTACTGTTTTCAGTGACACTCTACTAGTGCAGTGAGTTTGAATGTTGTGCAGCTGTAATATTATAGAGACCAGTACTAATGTATGCCGTACACCCCATCCATCTACAGGAGATATGCAATATTGTTAAAGAGAAGATCGTTTTTCATGATCATAGTAAAGTACTGTACGGGATGTGCCGTTTAGTGATTGGGATGCGTTCCTAAAAAACATCGCTGAGTGATCAGAAATGAGAAATAATATCTTAAACAAGGGATAACGAGGAATAATATCCATGGAGATGGCACATAATTGTGTAGCTGAGTCGCCGACTGACCGACTCGCAACCCAGTATCATTTAGAGTGGGTGAGGCTGAACTGTGAGATATGTTATTATTGTTCAACTTTGAATTTCTGGTAGATATATTGTACGTAATTTTCTTAATTTTCTTGTACTCTGTTACATGCACACGCATTTCTTCATACAGAATGTGCAAACAAAATAAAGAATAATTATAATAAGATCAAAAACACAAAGGGAATACTGTAATGTACAGTAAACAGTTCTTACCTGGTCCGCAGTTAGCCGACAAGAGCGGAGGGGGAAGAAGGAGCAATCATTTTAATACACAATATCACAATAGCACAAGGTAATGAACAATCTGTACAATACTCAATAACACGCCAAAGTCGCAACAATAACAGTGATGCACACCAATCAATAGTATACAGAGCAATATAGTAAAGCCCAAATCATACTGGTCAAAGGCAGGCGGCGAGCACTAGTGTAGTAACGGCCTGGGTTAGTAAGTGGTGCACCAGTAACATACCCCTACAATACGTGATTTCTTTATAATAAACTTTGATATGTACCTTCTCTGGTTACCAAAATATTTATTTTTGCTTTTTGCTGGAATAGCTAGACCAGTGGTTCTCAACCTTGTTTGCCCCATGCACCCCTTTCACCATATGTCAGAATGTCATTCCCCCCTCCTTTCCAAGATTGTCTGCCTCAAAAAGTGCATTCCAAATAATATGCATATAATACTGAAAATCCTTTATTTTTTCCATATTAGTACAATTCCCCTGAAAACCTGAAATTCCCCCCTGGGGGGAATTCCCCCCTGGTTGAGAACCCCTGAGCTAGACAGTGACTTCTAAAATTCAGGCTGGTTGATTCATAGGTAGTGTCTTTTATAGTGGCTCCCTTTCCAAGTGGTATTGTGTTGCCCTTGAAAATACAATATTGCCACGATATACTGTATCACACTGCATTATTTTACACCACTTTATTTTGTTAGTTACACTTATTTTTATATTAGACTTGATTATATAATACTAGAGAGGTAGGTGAATAGAAAAATGGAATTCAAACAAAATTTTTTTTATTAATTTGCATGTGGCAATTCTAAATACAGCACTGTAGAATCTGAATCAGAGACACAAACCTCTGCTCCACAGCAAACATGCCACAGTGAGTTTCTGACATCACTTACATAAAATAACTTCCATTTACATAATTCTCTACTTATTTTACTATTTATTGTACTCAAATATGAAGATATTATTCCTTCAGGTAATTTTTAGGAATCGGCACTTGACATACGTTATCGGGTAAGGTGGTGATGGTGGTGGCAGAGGCAGACAGGACACACACACACCCTCCCTCCCTCCCTCCTTCCTTTCGTCCCACCTGTGCCTCGCCACTACACTGTGAATTCTCCTCTGCTGCCTGCCTGCTCACCAACAGAATCCCAATTTTTTCGACTTCCCTCCATAATTTTTTCCTGTGAGTTGAAGATCGCTAAACCGAACAATTGCAGATCGTTAAATAACCATGAGTGTTAGAAATTTTCAATTGCTTAATGGGGCTTCCTTGTACTGTAATGTGTTGGGTACAGTATTTCAAAGACAAATTTCATATTTTTATTGATCATTTCATCACTTGTCAGCTCAGTAGCCATTTATGTGGGTTGGTCAGCTCATTGTTATGACCTTTTTTGTCCAGTAGACTATCTGTACAGAAGGAAGCAGATTACCTGGAGAAAGCCTGCGATTTTTCCTAGGGCCACACTGGATAACTCACTTCTGTCTTGTCTAGGGATTGAACCCAGGACACATTAGTGAGAGATACTTTCATTACTGGATTACCATCATCTGTATTCATCTTTTTGGGTGCTTTAATCTTTGTTTATCAAGTAGTATTTGCACTGCTCAGTATTGTATGTAGGATTGAATACATTTACACTCGAAGGCAGTTGTTACCATTACTGTAGCTACAGTACTTGAGTTTTTTTCTCGCTCAAGATTGTCTTTAATGATTTTAACTGAAATCCTGCAGAATCCAGTGTTTATGACCTACTTTGTTGTAATATGTATTTTATTTAATGACAGTTATTGCAGCCATCAAAGAAGATGTGACCAAACATCGCATTCTGATTTTTAAGGTAAGTCTAAGAATTTATGTGATGTACAGTATCAGCAATTTATTCTGAAGTCACAGACTATAACTAAGCTTAGATAAATGACTTACAGTAACAGTATCTTTATGCCCACCTTAGATTTTGGGCTTTGAAATTTAGGAAAACTGAGGCAAGACTCTGAAGATTGGCACTACATAACAGACATAGCCAAAATACACAGTACAGTACTGTACTATGACTGTGACAGGCCAAGCACTTGTTTTGCAAAAGTGAGAACACTGTATATAAAGGCAAACCCTTGAACATTTTAAATCTGGTTTAGCAAGTTTTTCTTCTTTACTTTGAATAGGACCAAGGTGTGGTTAGTGGGGAGAGACATGTGGAGATTGCAAAGTGGTTTGCTGAACCAGAATCCACCTTTTATAAACACCCACGATCACCTCACCCAGATGTGTTTAGAGTGTCTAATGACCGCACGGAAGGCTGTACAAGTGAGTTAATTAGATATAGATAATGTGACATTTTATTTGTATTTGTATAATTAAGAAAAAAATCAATTGATTAATCAGATCTTTGTAATTGCAGTATACAGGTATGTTGAAGCTGCAGTTCCACTCAATGGTAAGATTAGTACACTTGTGTACTATATTATCAAATACAGGTATGGGACTGTTTATCCAGTGTCCTGGTAACCAGAATGCTCTAAAAACTGGTATGTTGTGGAATGAATTACTTAAAATGAGTACCAAGTAATTCCCAGGCCGAGCGGGGAGATTTCCAACCATTCCCCACCAGTGAGCTAGATGTTATGTTATGGTTATTTATAAACTTGTAATTTTGGGTGGATAATTTAATTTTTTTTATTTTACTCAGAACATACATAATCCTCCATGCAGAAAGTGAAAAAAAAAATGAAATAAAAATACAGTACTGATAATTATCATAAGCAGGGTGTCTGCTGGTCTGGAAAACTTGGAAAAGGCAGGGAATTTTATTTGGGGCTGGAAAAGCCAGGGAACTTTACAAATAAACCTGGAATTTTATTTGAATTCAGTTCAACTTCAATTTTTTTTATTTTGACAGTATACTATATAATAGGTAAATAATTAACTTTTAGGAACAAATTCCAGTAAATAGTCCACTCCAATAACTGAATTGCTTGTTTACTTATTATATTTCATGTTAGTGATCAAATAACCAAATATTACAGGTTATACCTACTAATTCTGCAGTGAGTATTGTCTAGAGATGAATTGTTCTTATAGTTAAGTGACTTTATTGAAGTGGATTATTCCACGTGGTATTCATGAGTCATACAGGTGGGTCAGGAATGTGATTTATCAGTTTATGCCAGATTTCCGGCTCTTTTGGAACGCCCAGGTCGACTCACGTGAATCGCACAAATCCGGGGGGAAAAATATGGAGGGTGGGCTCAAGGTCTTTGCCAGTGTTCATCACTAGGCTTGGGGGTGGTTGCAAAAGGGTCTTCAATTTCTTGATTAATATCATTTATGTTATCTTTAAATTTCCCAACAGTATACTGTATACATATTTTTGAAAACCTCTAATTTTGTTATTATATTGTAATAAATACGAATTAATGTACGTACAGTACCTGGAATTTTTCAAATTTACACCTGGAGACGCCAGGGAATTTTGTTTTGTCTGGCCAGTAGACACCCTGATAAGGTACTGAATAGAGTTTAAATATCTACAGTTTTCCTCCGTGAATCCAAATGGCAAGTGTATGGAGATGTCAGAGGGTATGTTGCAGGTAGCACTGTTGCTAGAGAAGGCAACTAGGCAGTGTCCCAGCTGGGCTGCTATACTGCCCATTCTGGGGTCACTAATCCTAAGGGGATAACTTAAATCTACTCTTAATTTTAAGGTCGCTGCCACCAGACCCCCTGGACAGTATGTAGCTTGTTTAGGTAGCTGACAGAGCAAGCCAGGCATTGGGTCGGGTTTTTCATTGACCAAATCAATAATGGAAGGAAGGGTGAAACATCATTCATGACTTAACTAATTTATTTCCTAATAAAAAATATTGCATTCAGTCACAATACAAAAAAAGTTGACCTTCATCCAAACAACTACTATTAAGGTCATTACACCTCACACCAATACACGGTCTTCTCTAAATGAACTAATTAAAATCTTCATTCTTCGTAATAAATCATTGACCTCCTTACCCAGGTCATTCTTTATACAATGACCCAAACATACTTTGTAGCACCAACATTTACAGCACCAAGGTACACGTGATTGGTACCCCGCTCACACACTACTCTTGCTAGGTAGATGGGATACTTCCCAGATAATCATACCAGGACTATTCCAGCGTCCAGTATCATGGGGTCGCTTAAGTGGCGACCTCGAAACATCTCGTATAAGACAATCATTGTCCCCTTTCCGGGATGTTGATATGTGGGATGTCCAGGGGCCTTAAGGGAGGTTGCATGGTGACCAGCAGCGTTCCCCACAGTAACACATGGGTGCCTCAAAGTAGGGCGATGGTGGCTGGGCCGAGCATTTCTCCGACGTCATTGGGCACTCTACCTACTCTCTCGGCGTGCACCTGATGCTTGGGTGAGAAGCGATGCCTGAACTGAGAATAATGCCTGAGGGGCTTTTATATCATCACACTTTATAACATTAGGCAAGGTTTTAAGAGGTATATAAACTGCAAGATAGGCCTCTATAAGTACGGTGGGGAACCCGATTTAAGTTATTCCCGTACGATTAGTGACCCCAGAATGGGCAGTATAAATTGGTCCTTCCCAATCATCATATAGACACCTTGAGTTCTCCTTAATACTATCAGTACATACACTTAATATTATATGCCCATATTGGTACAATTCATATAGAACAACATAAAGCAGGTGAGTTATCCCTTACAAAAGTTTCCCGTTTTCTGTGACTGTACAATCGCGGTGGATTTAAATGTTATGCAGCGTAATATGAATTGAAGAGATATTAAGGATGACCATGATGTGCGCAGTACACTGCATTGCTCACTGAGGTGGACGGTGTCCAAAATTGTGATGTACTGTAGTGTGACACTAACTTGTATCATTGATGCTCTTTTTATGCTTTCATGATTGATAATTCTATGCTTTTGTTTGCTGTTTATATAGCTACAATTTAAATTTTAATCTTAGCCCCTTTTAGGGTTGAATCTAGTGATGTGAACAGAGGCTTCACTGTCAATTACAGAGGATTTACTGTACATTTAGTACATTTTAGGCCTGGCACTCCGAACTCTGGAAAAAATCTCTTATCCAGTGAACCTCAATTCACAAATATGCCGGATAAATGATCCCATATCTGTACTATATAACTCAACCTGCCTGAAATGACTCATGACTATAGAAACGTTGAAGTCTCGGGTGTAAGGAGCAAGGTAAGCACTGACCTGTCATCAGCTGGGTTAATGCTTCTTACGATGCCTCGGCATCACATTCATTTCATCTTACATGTCTTAAATCTCAAGCTTAAAACCTTTAACTTTTTTTTTACATCTATGAGCCATACAGTATTAGACAAGTTGTAATAATAATTTTCTTTTCACTGTGACATTCTATTCTTGTATTACAGTACAGTACAGTATTGCGCTTTCAGATGTTGGTCGAACGGGATGGCACATTGATGGCAGTTTTCAAGAGGCACCATTTGCTTATGCCCTTTATCATATGGTAAGATTTCTTAATATGAAAGACAAGTAAATTATTTTTTAGTATTCCTCCATTGTTTGCTTGGGTTATAATATATGGTGAGCCTTTTGTTTTCTGGACAGTTTAAATGTTGTTGGTTTTTATGTCATGTTTTAGGAAGTAAACACATTATTCATTTTAATTGGAAGTTGTTTTTCTGTGCTCCAGATTTATTCCCTACCCAACCTGTGCAACATATCATACAATCTGTGTAAAGTTATTCTCTGGAAATTAACCAGTGTTTCCATTTGTTGTAAATTGCTAACTGTATATCCTCACTGTGTGCACATATCATATTGAACATTCTGTGCTTGAATTTCCCATTGGAAGTATTAAAGGTTTGTGCAGATGTGAACTTTTGAGTTGATACGAATATAGTCGACTTGACTTATTTGCTTAAAAAAGTCCTATTGGAAGCTTCTTCATTTCTTCACATATGCATCTTTGAGAGGATGATTTAAATTTATCAAGTGACTTTCACTCAGTACCAAAATCCTCCGCTATGTTGTAGGCTGACAGGTGGAAGCTACACCCAGGCATGTTCTGCTGCATGATGAGTTCTAATCTTGACCTCAAAAAGTTCCGTGTTACCTAGTCGTTAAGTCTGATTCCCGATAAATCTACTTACCGCACATTTATAGCACAGGACGTCAAAGAACAGTATTATAAATGCTGTCAACTTAATCTAGAAATGTTTTTCATTGTAAAGGGTTGTAGATATAGAAGTGTTAAGTATGGTGTTATAAATGCTGTAAACTAAAACAGTAAATACAAAGTAATGTATGATGTTGCTGAAGAAATGCTGTTAACTTAAAAATGTCAAGTTGGGTGTTTTCTCTCAGGTCAGCGTACCAACTAACGGCCCTACGATGTTCTGCCCACTGACGGAAATAATAGAAGAGTTGCCTCGAGACCAACGCATTCGATGGGAGCGATTGTATATGATTAGCGATCGCCGATCAGGTCCGATTCATCCGCTCATCTACACTCATCCACTGTCAAAGAAGAAGGTGAGACAGTTAATTCAGCAATCACACAGTTCCCTCAGTTGTTAAAGAGAAAATATCAGGTGAAGTCAGTTAAAAACCAGAATAAGATTTAGCATATAAAATTGGCTCACCTGCTGTACAAAACTTAATTGATAAAAGGTGGAAAAGGCCAATTAATTCTCCACTCTTTAGTTGAGGGTCTTATACTTACATCAGGGTATGTATAGCACTTGAGCATCTGTAAACCTGTCTTTGGTTGAAGCATAACCCTACTGTGCAGGTTCAAGGTTGGCAAATTTAAATCAATGGTTAAAAAAAATCTCCTTTTTTTGTCTTGGTTTTAATAAGTTTTGTAGTTTGTATCACTTACAGACAGTTTGAATGATTTATAGTGTATTTGGAAAAGCCATATGATGGGTAGACAGAAAAGCATTGTGGGAGGCATTACAAGTGTATGGGGTGGGAGGAAGGTTATTATGCAGTAAAAGCATTCTATTAGAACGGCCAGGCAACTGTAAGAGTAAATGGGAAAGAATGGGAAATTTTTTAAATGAATGTGGGTGTAAAGGCAGGGATGCATTATGTCCCCCTGGTTCTTCAGTACAGGTATGGATGTGAACTATTATACACTGGAGAAAGTGGTGATAATAACCTTTCTTTCAGAACTGTATACATCACAAATTCTGATTTTAAGGGAGCCAAGTTGCCACAGTTTAGTATAACTGGAGACTGCTTCTGTTTATAGTTGGGCTCTGAACCTCTGATTCTAATGTGTTTAGATCATGTATTATACGGATTTAGGGGAGCCAAGTTGCCACTGCCCATCTGTCTCTCTCTCCAACTGTTCTCAAATAAATTCTTTAAAACTTTCATCTGTAAAGCTAGAATAGTTTTTTCATCCATTAAGATGAACTTAAACATAGTTTTTGTCTTTAAGCGTGTAGGATGAGTTTGGTTGACTGATCAAAACTTGTGTTATTAAAATTTGGCCTTGGCACAGTGATTTTTTTTTAGATGGAAAAAGAGTATTGTACAGTATAAACGATTGCTAAATCATCCTGAAAGTAATATTTATGATTAATAGCATATTAAAAAGTTTTAATAGGGGCTATAAATACTTAAAACTTATTAAAACCAACATAATAGTATTAAAAACTTTATTTTTTATTTTTTTTAAACAATTTTTTTTTTTTTTTTTGCCAACCCTGGTACAGGCATTTCATGAATTCCACATGAACATGTATCATTACTCAACAAAGTGCTGGATGCCAACTCAAACTCTTTGTTAAAGGTTAAGGTTACAGTTGCAGGTTAAAGGTTTATTTGTCATCATATCTTTTACATACTGCTGTACCCTTGTCTACCCATTTGCTCCTTGGAAATTTCAAAGGTTCACATCCATACATAAGTTCTGCAACAAGATACTTTCACAGTCCACCCTAACTTGGTGTGGGGATCCTTGCCACTCTGATGTCTACATTGAACATTTGGGCAACAGTTTCGGGAGGTCATCCTCCAAGCAACAACCAAACTTTTATGGAATATTCACGAGTATTTTTGTAGGAAAATTATGACCAGAGATACGTCCCAGGAATGTAATCCCATTCATACCACTGAGTATAGGGTCAATTCTGTTTTTAGTATGAAGCAAGATGATTACATTATTAGATGTAAATGGCTTGATTAAGTACCAGGTAGTTTTAGATATATTTCTGGCCATAATTGTTCCTGTCCTTTCTACCTGAATTTTTACAACGTCTTGAGAATTAGAATGAAATTTTTGTGGCAGGTTTTGTGTTTCCACCTGGGCATGACCGAGGGGTTCGTATGGGACTACAAGACTCCACAGCAACGAGTCACCAGTGAGGAGGAAACTTATGCACTCCTACAGGAGATCCATCATGAGTTTATCAAGGACAACAAGGCTCGTCAGTATAGACACAATGTATGTAGATAATTTAATTTTCTGCAATTCTTTGTCCGGGCAGTAATTCTCCTGGGGACCTTTATTTGTATGCTTTATAGCAGGAATTTTTGCTGGTGTTTCTAAAGCCAGGCTGTTAGTATTAAGCATCATTTTTTATCCCTGTGTGGTCCAGTGCAATATGGCAGGTATCGAGAGCAAAGACAGACTCTTCCTTCATTCACTTGTGTTTCTTTACTCTGACCGCAATAATAGAACACATGTTACAAAATTTAAGATTAATATTTGGCACTGAGTCATTTGAGAGTCTGTTTGCTCATAATTTAGGTTGCCCTGTGTCACATCAGGAAAAGGCTGGCAAAAGCTTTAAAAATTCCAGGTTTACTAAAAAGTTAATTTGCCCCAGGTAAACCAAGAAGTTATTTTGTCCTAGGTAAAATAATAAGTTATTTTGTTTCAGGTAAACTAAGAAGAGTTTTTGTACTATACAGTCTATGCCGAGCATTTATATTGCCCCAGTTAAAGTAACAGGGGCTTTTATTCTTATTGTTTCTTGTTTCAGTGGAGTGTGGGTGATTTCATATTATCAGACAACCTGTCAGTGGCTCATGAAGCTGCTCCAGAGACTCAGTTGCCTCGGAGCCAAGTGGGACTGAGAGTACTACATCGTGTCACCACCCTTGGCTGCAGCCCTCCTGTCAAGGAGTATGACTATCGCAAGGAACTGGGGCTGTAATAATACAGCAATAAATCCCTATCTACTCCTCAGACTCACCAGTGGTTGAGCTACTAGCATGCCTGGCCATACTATAACATGATTTAATTTTTAGAAGCTTTCATGCAATAAAGATCTTCTTGATCAAGGCGTCAGTTATAGCGGCTCTCATGCAATGGGGACATCACACAACCTGCAGAACATGAGGGCAAGTTTGATCACATGAGGGATATTTTGTCATGTCATGAAAGGAACTCTTCACTTTTAATTATACAGTAAACCAGGTTGATGCCAGGTCATGGTGCTGCACATGATGATGCATTACAGTATAAGCTGACCTGACAGTCGCTTAATCTCCCTCAGTGTATTAGTACTGTACAGTATTCCAACCTCATTCAGTATAAATCTATTGGCTTAGCTTCTTGATAATGAATTTTTACTGATACTTTTATGTGTACACGACCTACAAACCAGTCTGGAAGAATACCTTAAAGTACTGCTATTTTTTAAATGACATTTTGTTGGTTATGTTCTGTACTGTACTGGCAAAATTTTAAGTTTACTTATTGCTTTTCCCATCTGAAAACCTCACATCACAATATAAGAGAGCCACTTAAGGTTAATCTTAGAACATAGGCTTGTGAATTTTTATCAGTTTTTCTCAAATCAGAGTTGCTGCTCTTCCTCATGTATGCCTGCAGGATTCTTAACATGAGAGGGAAGGAATTAGCACCTACTATTTATCATATTCCATTATCTCAATAGTGAGCTAGGGAGTCTGCTGGGAATGACCAACCCCTATCAGTAATAAAACTGCACCATAGACTGTGATCCCCATTAGCAACTGCATTCTAGAATCCAGGACTCAGATTTTCAAAGGTGTGAAAATGCATCTTATTGCTTCACTTGAACAGTAGCACAATGTTAGCTGTTAAAATGGCTTTCGACTGCTGTTGCAATCATACCACACTCAAAGTGTTCTATTTCTTCTAATTAAGGAGCGATAACAAACATACCCTGTACATCTGTGAGAACTTTGGGTCTTGAATCATGTTTAAGATTTACACCCGAAGAAGTTGAAGTTGTTGCTGTTGTTGATGATGATGTATGAGATAGACTCTAGAAGTACCACACTCACCAAGGTTGGAGAATACAATTAGTGTTTTTAGAAGGATCTTTCATAATTGTTCATCACTTCTGCAGAACATAATTTGTTGTCTGATGCTACCCATTCTGCCTTTCAACTTAGTACTGTACATGTATAACTAGTATATTCAAGTTCAAGTCTAGATTGAGTGAATACAAAATGAGTCTGGTAACAGGTAATGAAAATGTCTTTGAAGAGAATATGATGGGAAAAAATTCTATTGTTATACTGTATTTTCTTTTTAGGGTTTCACGTGACAAAATTACGTAAATATATTCACCATCAGTGTTGTGGGTTGGATCACCTTTGATGAAACTGACAAGTGGTACTTAAATTATATTGGCATTGACTGTACTAGGAATACCACTGGTTGTGAATGGTTGCACTTGAAAAATTACCAGTACTGTGTTATGTGTTCGAAGGAATTTTATATTATTTATGTGTGATTATGCCAACTGTGATATATTGTGATAGATGTTACAATTAATATGAAGGCAAAGTTTGTTTTACAGGTTTTATGTATGTTTAATTAATTCAATGTGTACAATGCACAAGTCTGCATACCTGGGTGCTGCTTTCTAATGGGCAGAAGATGTGGTTAGTAGAGAAAGGGAATCCCATCCTCCTGCCTACTTCCTGTTCTGATCCTTCCTGCTCTCCATCAGCCTCTACCTTTTCTCTTTACCTCTCTCTCCCATTGCATCTTCTTTCTCCCTCCTTCATCCTCCACCTTCTTTATCTACCCTCCATCAACCTCTACTTTCCCTCCAATTACTTCAACTCTTTCACCTCTTCCCTCCACCCTCTCTCTCTCTCTATTACCTTCCTTCCACTCTACCACCTCCTCTTCCTCCCTGTGTCTTCTCTCTCATAACCTCCTTTCCACTCTGACTATTTCCTTTCTCTTGATTTTCTTTTCCCTTGTTTTCTTCCAACTCTCCTTTTCTTCCTCTTTCCATCTTCAATTCACATTTTCACTCACTCTCTTCTTATTTCCTATAAACAAGAAAGCACAAGCAGAATAAAACCAAGTTACTGCTGTCCACTTAAGAAACCTGCCACCAGTTAAGGCACCAATACTGTAATATTGTCATCACCTAGGAGTCTAGACTTATTGTACCTGTAGTACTATACAGTATAATATCTAAATCTGTACTTGATCTTATATTTCTGAATAAATTTCCATTTAAAGCATCAACTTCATAATACTTGACAACTCGTAATTTGATATAACCTGGAATGGCAGTGAAATATTTAATTAAGTTATTTTATACATAATTCAATTGTACTCAAGTTATGATGACGCAATCTCGGAGTGGTGTTACGCGCCATACCCATACGGGATGCATGAATTTTCCAGAGTGTATTGCATTATTTTTATTATGATTTACTTACATGTATATTGTAAGCCTCGACCAGAGTAGAACATTCTAGAACTTCCCAGGCGTGTCTTGTTCTGACTTGTAATGGCTGGATGGTGCTACGATGTTCTAGGGGCATCTAATGAGGTATATATGCGGCAGTGAGCTGCCTAGGACAACTCAGTCGATCATTTCTGTCCAGAGAGTAAGGAACAAGCCGAGTGACGACTAAAGATAATTTTTGTGCAAGTATTGTGGAATTGTTGTGAGTATAGAGGGTATGAGTATGGATGTACAGTATAGAGGCTATGAGTATGGATGTACAGTATAGAGGCTATGAGTATGGATGTACAGTATAGAGGCTATGAGTATGGATGTACAGTATAGAGGGTATGAGTATGGATGTACAGTATAGAGGGTATGGATATATAGAGGGTGTGGGAATGATGTTGGAGTATGGGTGTGAGAATACTATAAAAAAATGCAGAGGATAGCTTCTTTGTTAAACTAGAATACATGCAAAGTAAAGCCAAAAAATGCATAAAGTCAGAAACACTCCTAAAATTCCCCTAAATTGCCCTTAAATCACTATACAGCTGCTCCTCAACTTACGACAGGGTAAGGGACCCAAATCCAGGTCATAAGTCGAAAATGCTTAAATAATACATAGAAAATCTAAAATGGGTGTCTCTTTTTCTTCTCAGCACCACAAAACTCTAAATTTTAAGCTTGCCAGCCATTTTAAAGTGAATTACAAACAAAAATTTTGTCAGTACACAGCGCAATCACTAACGTCGGGACTCGAAAGTACGTAATTTGACAAAATTTTGGAATGACTGAGGCGATCATATGTCTGGGTGGTCGTAAGTCGAGTAGGTCATAAGTCGAGGAGTAGCTATACATACAGTGATCCCTCGGTTAATGAGATTTCGGTTGACGAATTATCTTCCATAAGATTCTTCACCTCGGTTAACGAGCAATCCCTCGATTAACGAATTCCTTACGAGCGCCCCTCAACATGTTTTCGCTTGCTCACTAGCCGTCGTATTAGTCCGGTGGAGGCGAGGAAAGTGGTGCTTCTCTCGCGGCAGGTACAGAGTCCTCAGTAGCGCCTGGTGGGGTGTGTGGGTCCGCGTCAGGAGCAGGGGCCGCGTCAGGAAGAGGGTCCATGACAGCAGCAGGGTGCATGACAGCAGCAGGGTCCACGACAGCAGCATGGTGCAGGACAGTAGCAGGGGGTACCTGAGGGAGAAAAGAGGGGTGTGTGGGTCCGCGTCAGGAGGAGGGTCCAGGACAGCGGCAGGGGGTACTGCTGGGCCGGGGGCGGCATCTGAGGCAGGATGAGTGTGTTGGGGTCGGTAGGACGTGGTGCTTGGGGCAGGAAGAGGAGCGGCTTTGAGTAGCAGAGCTACTCTAGGGTGTCTAACCTGCGGTGTAGAGACAGTAGTTGTAGAGCCGATGAGAGCTGCTTCTGGGTGGATAAGCCAGTCTTCCATGTTGCTTGAAGACTGGGAGAGTGATCAGTTTCTCCTCCATCCTGTATTAGTGCGAATCTCCGGGAGTCACCATTGTGGGGTATAAGATGTTTGTGTTCACACTCAGGATGGGATGGAGAAAGGAAACTCACAATGTGCTCTCTATATACATGTTGTATTGGATGTACAATGCAGCTTGGTGCTGGGAAGGCAGCGTGGTTACAAGCGTGATGTAGAGAGAGCTGGTTGGTGAGGATGCTAAGAGAGGGACAGCTTGTGGGTGAGAGAGGACCGCCAGGCAGGCGGAGGAGAAGCGAGGGCCGCCAGGCAGCGGCGGAGGTGTTGCTGGCTGGTTGGTGTAGGTAGAAAAGAAACAGGTCACCGCGAGGTCAGGTCTTAAATAGCGGGGGGTAGGCGTGGCTTAGTAGTTGACCCCCGCTCAGCGATGTATGGCGGCGCTGGTTGACCTAGACCACGAGGCATACACTGGGGAATTGGTGGAGTCGGCTACTCAGCGACAAACAGCGTTTGTTGAGGAGAAATCCACTACAATAGTCTACCAGGTGTGTTATAGACCACCTGGTGTGTTACAGAACACCAGGTTAGGTTAGTTTAATGGGCGCTATTCCAGTAGAGTGTAGACCAACTTCAGCACTATTTATTCATTCTTTTCTGTAACCCTCGTGCTAATTGACTTCAAAGGAGTAAAAACACATGGAATGAAAATATGATAAAGCAGGAAGCAAAAAGCCCATGTTCTCTATCCCACATGTGGTGATTCATAAGACACTTAGGTCAGTCAGAACACCGAGATAAGAGAGCCGTGGCTCTGAGGTGAACAAGGAGATTTAGGGCAAGGTATAGTTAAGAAGTGGGAAGTAC